TAGATCATATATACATACACATCTATAATGGTTAATTGAAAATGTATTTGTCAGCAAAAATAAATAAATTTTGCTCTCTTCCGACAAAATGAAAAAACTAATGAATTCTTGTATTGCAAAATAGTTTTCAATTTAATTTAAGAAAGCAAATTATCTAAAGATCGTAAAGATTAATAAAAATAGTATAACCGTTATATATATAAAACTTATAATGAATAAACGAATAGCAATTGAATGTTAATTAGTCTAGGGAATGACGACGATGATTTGCGGATTTTATTTGCGGGAGTGTTGATAATTTGGAAGGATATCAAGTTAACATTGACTATTATTTGAACTGCATTTTCCGTTCGGTGGTTGCGAATGAACGTGAGGTGAATTGGGCTAAAATATTTGCGATAGCGTGTCACCCCACGAATGCACGTCTGAATCTTATTTTAAGGGTAGATGGTGCCAATGTTGCAAACACAATCGGTTGTGTCCTGATAGGGGTTTGCTTTGATTTGCTAGGCATTACTGAACTATCACTTGCATTATTATTGTAAAACTTTGTTTTACTCTTCCTTAAAACATGGAGAGAAAGAATCGTAGCTTTTTAACAGTTGTTTGCACCTCGAGACTTTCTCAACCCTTTTTTTGCTCAGAAATTACAAAACAGTCTTTCGGTGAGGAAACGCAAATTTCTTGTCTGAGAAAATGGGCGTAAAAATTCCGGTAGCCGATCATGATCGAATGCGCATTTTACTAAAAATTTTGGTGAGGAGTTTATTCATTCATAAGTGATCTTTACAGTTAACACGGTAAGTGTTTAGACCTGTTAATAATTATAGGTGCGACAATATAAACTTTTTCGATTTATCGTTTTACTAAAAATTTTCAAAAGATTGTTATAAAAATTCTTAAATAGATTGTATTCAACGCGGTGACTTTCTGTTTATAGGTAAGTGACTTTTTCTCACTATTTTTCTTTTCATCACTATTTATTTATTTATATTTCTATCACTATCAGCCGAAAGTTTGAATTATAAAGGAGTTTTAAGGGAGCTATGAAATTGAATAACTTAGCAGTGAAGTGAAATAATGTAAGATCGCTTTTAATGGGTGTGTTACTTATTTTACGGAGTTGGTTGCACTGAATTGAAGGGCATCAAAGGGTATAGTGATAATCGTGGCAATAATTAATTTTTAATTTGGGAGGCGAATCTAATCAGTTTTTTTTTTTTACTTATAAAATACGAAGGAACTATTTTAGCCAGCTGAACAGTTTTGATAAAAATAACCTATTCCAAGAAGGCAAGGAAAAACTTCTATGAGTTAACTAAGTTTTAGATGTTTATTCTTTTATGCGAGCAAGCAGTTAAACCAACGGTTGTGTTCACAACAAGTTCACATGTTTTATTTTTTATATTATTTTCTTAGTCTTGCTTAAATGAAAGTATGCGTTGCGGCGTTTTGCTATATAATTATGTTAGGTATGTTATGTATAAGTTTTTCTCTTATAAAATTAAATTAATTATTAATGTTATTCGAAGTTTTAGACTTTTAATCCTTTAAACCGAATCAACGCAAACAGCATCTGTGTTTGCTTTTAGATATTCTTGTGCAAGCGCTACGAATGATTAACATTTCCGCAGAGGACATGGAAAAAATATGGCATCGAAGGCATATATTTGCATCATATTTGCATCTATGAGTGTGTACGTAATTCCTCAGTATATTTTCGCTTGCAATTAGTTGAAATAAGAATGTGTAAATGTTCACGCCACTAATTTTGCGTAAATTTCAAGGAGAGCAACTTTTGTAGAGATTGTGGCAATCTCGTCAGTGGTGAAATTCTTTTCTAGTATCTTTTTAAGTTTGGTTTGGTTTTGACTGTTATTAGGTGCGTTTCCGAAAGACTTGAAATTCAAATGCTACACACCTGATGCGTAATATCCTATCGGGTATTACTCGCCATACTTTTAAAGCAGAATTTGTAGTGGTCAAGTTACAGCGCTTTTTTGTTCGTTAGGGATGCCAAACGTTTGCAATTGCCAATTTGGCAACGATTAGAGGGCAAAAAATCAAATGGCATTGTCTTGAATTTTTTATTAAACGGTCAGTTATCAAACGTACATATGGCAATCGGAAGTTATTCACAAAATGTCGCAATATGATGCAAAATGTCATTAATAGAAGTTTTTAAATTGATATGGCGAAGTCTGTTTGGAAAAACCCTAAAATCAGGGGTCGTCCCAAACCACCTGTGGTACATAATTGTAACCTACAAATCGCCGAGGGGACTTGGATCGTAAATTTGGTGCAAAGCTTTACTGAATTCGTCTGAAAGTGCCGGGAAAGATTAGCCTTGATAGCATGCGTGAACAATCAAAAAAATTCCGTAATATTTTTAAATACATCCAAATCTCTTTTTACGCCATAAATGCGTTCCCAAAAAATTCGTGTAAAAAAAGATAATGAATTAAAAAAGTCTTCTTACAGTTCGCTTAACGATTTATGCGTTGTCACTTTCTGACAATAAAAGCAATCGTTTGCCATTATTAGAATTATTGTGTTCATCATTTACTCTACGCATAATTCGGGAAGCCCCACTCATATACGCGTATAATCGACATGGTCTAACTGAATTGTGAAAAATATAACGGGAACTTACAATCCATATTGCAGAATGGAAAAATTCATAGACACATCAAAAAAAAGGAAGAAATTAATAAGAAAAATTGTTGATAATCTTGTTAAAACAAAGCAATTCGTGTAAAAAGAGATTTTTTTTAGCTTGTGTTAAACTAAATTTAGTGTTATAAAAATTCGTGTAAACCGAGAATTAGTTTTAGTTCTTTTTGATCTTTTTATCCATAACGGCACAAATGATACAAAAGCTATATAAAAAAAGGATTCAGACATCCTAAGATGTCAATTTTTGGACAATTGCTATAGCGCCTTAGTACACAAGTGCATTTTGAACGACTTAGTAAGTGCAAAAAGCAATGAGCAATAAAAAAAAAAATTCGAACCCAATTCTCGCCCGAAATACTCAAAGCCATTAAACCAACAATGCCAGGCATAGTAGACAGATTAGAAGAGGAACAATAATATTTTTAAAATGAAAAGTTTGAATGCTTTTTTCCATGTTTTTCCTTGTAGTGTACTGCTGGTTGGATCCACGAGTTTTCACCCGGAAGTCTTGCAGTTTTAATTGCGCCTTCAAAGCAAGATTCTTTAATGAGTATAGTAGGATATTTTTGATAAATTAAAATATATTGATTATTTTTTTCCTAAAAAAAAAAAAACTTTTTTAACCGTCACAATTTAAACTTTTCGAAAAATTAATTTTTCCCTTTTTATTGGCTTAATATATGCTCCGAAGCTTTAAATGAAAGTTCTTTGCCTGAAAGAAGTAACAAAAATCGAAGTCGAGAAGAAAGAGAATAAAGATCGTCTTTATAATGCTGGGATTGCAGACTGGTGATAAAACTGAATAACAAATTCGTTTTAATAAAAAAAAACCACGTCTATGACACTCTCGAGGAATTTCTCAAAATTTCGCGCAGTAATGATTCCATCATTTTTTTTTTTCTGACTTTTAGCCAATATCTATGAAATAGGATTTTAAAAGCAAGTGTGCGGGGCATTTTTGGTAAATTGGTTTCTGTACAGTCATTCAAGAATTAATATTTATGAAATCTTCTATGTACTCCAACAAAAAGGAAATGTCTAAAATACATTAGTCGTAGGCTTCTCCTATTCCTCCTTAAATTAGTTTGACTAACAGGCTCATTAGATTTTGTGCGGTACGTCAACAGAGTTATAAAAAAAAGGAATGCTTTTATTTTGCGCGATCTGTCACGCCTCTGTGTTTGTTTTGAAAATATGGAAATGCTCTTCGTAAACTTTATAAAACGAATATTCACCAGTAGGGACCAGCATAGTAATAATACTTTTCATTTTTATACTCTACGCCATATATACAGCTTAAGTTGAGATATATTAAGTTTGTGTGAACGTGTACACCACTCAGAAGCACTTGAGACAGGCTTGTCCTTTATTTTACCGCTTGTTTTAGGGCCACTTTTTTAATCGATCAAGGCATTTTAAAGTAATTTGGTATGCCGACATGTTTTCGCCGAAGTAAGAACGACATTGGAAATGCTAGACCTGAAATGGTTCGGATCTGAACACTTTTAGGACCGCTTACCATGTAATCCATTTTTTTGAAAACTTGTTTAATGAATAAATTAACTAAGCGAAGTTTTGTAGGCTTCTACTTGTTTCTACATAAACTTTGATGCAAATTACGTGAGATATTTATTCGTTTATATTTATGTTATGTTATTTGTTTTTGTGTTTTCTAAGGAGAAAAAAATGGTTTGTTATCTAACACAGATGCTCCAGACAAGTTACCCGCTCACAGTTATTACGACTATCATGTTCACTATCCCAGCTAGTTCAATGCTATAGAGCTCTAAAATGAAACATCCATCACTTTTTGAATTTATTTAATAAAACATATTCTTTTTTCAATTAAATAGTTTTTAAGAAAAAAAAAGTTTTTAATATATAAATAAAATAAAACATGTAATACATAATAATAATAATAATAATATTTAAATATATGAGCAACAAAAAATAATAATTAGAGAAAATAATGTAAAATATGTACGTGTTCGGTTGACAATTCAAAGGGAAATTAAAACAAATATCTTTTACAATAAAAAAAATAAATTAATAGAGTACAAATTTTATAGGGAAAAGGAGGCAAAAACAAGAATAGATTTAAAATGTACTGATATTTCATTTATCTGAACGTAAAGACGTTAATTTTTAAATGAAGGGATTAAGATTATGTCACTTCGTAGGACAATGATTCACTCTTTCGGCTTTGCTTAAATAGCTTTTTTTTGTTTTATGTACAAGGTTTATATAAAAAAAATGTTAAAGGATGAAGTGCTCACGAAAAATACAACATTGATTAATAAAAATATATATGTATAAAAAAAAAATTTTTTTTAAGCTTAGCAGTTTCTTTCAAATATCATAAGAGATAAAAAAAAAAAATATGTTCGGCCTGAATAGGGAGGGAATAGTTGTTAGCTTAATCGTTGCTTCTTCTCTGCGTCTAGACATCGATCTGGAAAGGTGAACCGGGGATATTTTCATCACCCCATTTGACTATTAATATGTATTGACCACGATCGCGTACCGAATAGCTAACATTATAGTTGTTGCGACCGGTGTGTTTAATGGTGAATTCTTCGCAGGGACCTTTAGGACCATACATGCCTACATATAATATATTATTGCCTTAAAGGAAAGTAATGTAAAAAAAAGTTTTAATCCGTAATATATATGATTTGTGCTTTTCGCTAATCTTACCAGCATCTGTAGCATTGACAGTGAAAGTGTTCTGTTTACCGATGAAAGCTTTCTTTAGGCCCATGCCTTTGGAAGTGACTTGTGTGGCATCCGATTTGAAGGTCGGCATATGGATGCCAGCATTTTTACCGCCTTTAGAAAATTTCGCTACAGTATCTACAACCACGGTAGATGTTTCTTGAGCCCCGACGTCAGCCAATTTATCACCTAAGAGAAAAGTGAAACTTAATAGAAATATTCTTTAATTGATTGAATTTATTACCTTCGCAACTGACACGGAAAGGTGAACCAACGATATGCATATTATTATATTTTACTGAAACATAATGATCTCCAGGTAGCAGTGGTGTGTAACGCACTTTATAGCCTTCCTCAACTTCAGTGCAGTCCATAGCTACCTTCGACGGCCCGTCAATAGTTACCGATAAAGTACCAACACCAGCGTTGCACGTGTTAATAATAAAATCTGCCTTGTGACCGGTTTTAACTGTTTCGAGACCTGAACCAGATGCTGAAACGGCGGCCGGATCAGCTACATCTTTACCGACCTTAATGCGAAACGGTGATCCGGGAATGTGAACACCGTTGAATTTCACGTGAATTGCATGTATACCATTCTCACGCGGGTAGAAACGTATCGAATACATTTCGGCGTCGATGGCTTGAATGAAGCAATCGTCATCGGTGCCCGATGGAGCCACAATTTTGGCATCTAATTCACCTTTAGCGCCATTTTTGCGCACCATAAACTGATAAGGAGCGTCAGCTTGAATGTTACCTTCGGGGAATTGTTGCACTTCCAGTTTATGAGCATCACCGGCATCCGGTGAAATGTAAACTTTGAAGGGTGAATCTGGAATATGACGATCGTTGAATTTCAAGCCTACGCGATACTCTCCCGGCTCCGTCACTTTGTAAGACACATCGCAGGAACCATCTTTACGATCTTTAAATTCAATTTCGGCTTTACTGGGACCTTCAACCGAAATGGCCAAGGAGCCGCCACCAGCTTCACGGGTCCACACATTAAATTCACAGGGTAAACCAACCACACCGCGCTCTAAACCTGATCCACCGGCTTTAACTAAGTGGCTACCGAAGTCATGTAAAGGACCGACCGTAAATTGGAAGGGAGAGCCAGGGATATGCATGTCCTTGTAGCGTACCGATACTGTATGAACACCCAACTCTTTGGGTATAAAGTGTACAGAGTACAAACCATCTTCGACCTCTTGTATCTCGGCGTCTTCAGTAACGTTGCTAGGTGAAGTTACGCGGGCAGCCAAGTCGAATGAAGTAATACCGGGCATTTTGAAAGTTAGCTTGCATTTGCTGCCAATCTCGGTAACTGGGACCGCATCTCGCTCACGTTGGATTTTTTCCCGTTTACGATTACTGCCTTCACCCGTAACTTTGACAGTGAACGGTGATCCTTCAACATGATGATCGGCAAACTTCAAATTAACAATGTAATAACCTGGCTCGGTAGGTTTATAGGAGATGTTTAAAGTACCGTCATCTTTGTCGGTACATTGGATTTCTGCCTTACTGGGGCCTTCAATGGATACGGATAAACCGCCATATCCAGCATTACGGGTATCAACGGAAAATACATTTTCAGCGTGAGTTTTGCCCTCTTTAAGGCCAACGCCAGATACTTTAACTTTCTTTGCATCGCCAACTTCGCGTTCCATGACAGTCACTTTGAAAGGAGAATTCGGTATGTGTTTGCCCATGCGCTTCACCGAAACCATATGTTCACCAATTTCGCGAGGCGTAAATGAAATGCCAATATTATTGGTTGGCATACGCTTTAAGAAGCAAGGCTCTTCTAGGCCGCTGGGAGCCTGAATTGAAGCGTTTAAAGCACGCAAGTCATCATCTGTGATCACACCGGGCATAGTAACTTCCGAGCACGAACCGACTGATATCTGATTACGTTTACGACCTTCGCCAGTAACTTTGGCGACGTAGGGTGAGCCCTTAATGTGCTTATCACCAAAACGAACTGAAATATGATATTCACCGGGAGCAGTAGGTAAATACTGAACAGATACGGTGCCATCCTTGTTATCGTGATAATTTATCTATAAGACAAAAAAAAATTTATGTTTCAAAGAGAAATTTGACGGAGATTAAAAGAGAGTTAACTAATTTTTAGAGACGAACAGACGACATTTGTACGCAGTTTGTGTTATGTATTGAACAAAGTGTGATTTTACTTACGTCCACTTTGCTGGGACCTTCCACTGCCATAGTTAACCCAGCGGCGCTAGCACCCTTGGTAGAAATAGTAAAATTGCATGGTTCGCCGGTAACGCCATGAGTTAAGCCCGGACCATAAGCCGTTACATAACCGGATGTTATAGAGTCGACATGGAATTTAAACGGAGATCCTAAATGAAAGTGAAATAAATTATTAACGTAAAAAATTTGTTTGTTCAACTAAATCTACAAACCTTGAACGGGTTCGCCATTATATTTTACCACCAATTCATGTGTGCCTTCTTCTTTGGGTTCATATTTAACAGAAACAGTGCCATCACGATTGTCTTGGATTATAGGTTTATCAACTTTACCGCTAGGCATTTTGACTTCAGCTGAAAATTTAAAAACAAAATATTCTTTATTGTTGTAATCTTTTTTTTTTAATTTTGCATTTGTTTTCTTTTAAATAACAGCAATTTTTTTAAATGAGAAAAATTTAACGCTTTCTTACAATTAATACTTTTGCCACCTATGTACAATTAATTTTAGTTCAAAATGTCTTTTATAACTTAATACGTTTCTTAAGATTCATTTTCGAGAGGGATCTCTTTCAGTTGTAATTTTTCCTAAGAGTGCGTCGTTAGATGGTAACCGCCTCCTTTCACTGCCAATAGCTGATGGAGCCGCCTCATCCAAATGGCGTGTAAAATGATGTCATTGAAGAGGAATATAACTGGTAGACAGACGCCCTTGATGATTATTCCGTATATTTTTACATAGATCCCTAGATAAGGGGCATGCGCTTTCAGTTCATTGATATCTAAGATGAATTTGAAAAAAAGCCTAAGTAGGCCTACATTGGCCTGATGTCTATAGACGTAGTTATGTTCATGAGCAAAAAGCGCTTCAGTGATTAATTTTTACTTTAATGATGTTAGCTTAAGCGTCTACTTATTAAAAAATTATTCAAAAAATATTATGTGATTCGACAGGCAGGAGCGTTCAGTGATTAGTTTGATATGTCCATCCTTTACAATTCTTTTCGATCTTAGAGCATCGCTAAGAGGAGGCGTCGCTTCAGCTAAACTGTTATCAAAAATTGCTTTCATGAGCATCTAGTAATAAATATTTAAAACGGGTTAATGATTCAATAAACGAGTTTACAAAAAATTCCTTCTTTATTTATTTTTCTCCACAATTCGAACTTATACGATTCATGGTATTGTCTCAACCAAGCTCTTTTGCAAAGAAAAGACCATTTATTGATTAAACGAAAACTTTTAATGAATTGGGTTTAAAGAGCAAATATTTTGAAAGCAAGCCGAGGCAGAAGACTTTGTGATAAAAAACAAACAAACCTTTGTTATTTGCCTTTATTGCGGCTTTCGAACTTACGCTGGCCTCCTTAATTTTTTTTTTAAATAAGTAAAAACATTATAGCGGGCCGCGGCCCACTGTGGAATATTTTACCCCACCCTACACTTATTTATATGACTTTAAAATAAGGCGCAATAAGAAAAGTGATCGAAAAAGCGGTCCGATTCGAACCATTGAGTCGAAGCGTGTTAGTGCACCAAATTTCATCAAAATATCTCAAAAAGCGCGGCCTGTGGTTTGGACTTAAAAAACAAGAGGGACGGACAAGCTTAGAACGAACATTTTTTTTCTTTTAAAAGAAACTGAACGTATAGTTAAGAAACGGTGTAATTAAATTCGAATTTTCGAAAGAAATCACTTTCAATGCAGCTTTCTTTACACTGTGTTCTTACGAGTTGGCCGTAGCTCTTGCGCTTTCAATTTTTCGAGGAAATAGCCGATAATTTCGTGCTCAAAAAAATAACATTATCTTTCTTTATTCAACGCTTTCTTGAAGACCTTACTTTCCTCTCAATACGGCCTACCATTAAATACCCTACATCACTTCGTTTAAAATGGTTACTTACAAAGCAATTTTTGAAAATAAGTCGTTTTATGAGAAGTGGTCGGCAAACTGGTGTGGTTCGAACTACTCTGCATAATTAGCGTCCTTGGGTCAAAACAGGTCGGTGAACCAAATTTCATTAAAGTATCTCAAAAATTACTTCCTGTTCAACCTATTACAAGAATTGAAAACGGGCAGGCGGACATACAAGGTCTGTGCAATAAAAAGTGGTTCTGTCTCAAGTCCTTTTGAGTGGTGTATACATATATAAGTGGGGTAGGGTATAATTACAAATAGAAATAAAATTTCAGCAACGTAATCTTAGCCTTATTACGGCTTAATATTAACAACTAAAAAAATTCTGGTAAGACCGAGCTGCTCTGCTAAAGGGGAAATCACCGCGAATAGTGTTTGAGGCTAATTGCACTAATTGATTGCCTGTGAGAATAGTTATATATATATGTATAGTTATGATAAGCACAGTGGCTTATACATATACATATATATATCTTATCAATTATATTATTAATATATACTTATGTATATTTTCTTATGCAAAATAAATAATGAAATGGAAAATCTTTTTCTTCTGATTCACCGTTAGATAATTTATTTCTATTTAAAATTTTTCTACTTTGCCTTATTTTAATAAACACGCATACATACAAATTGTTTGCTTGCTATGCATACAGAAATTTTTATGCTTTCTATTAAAAATAGATTTTTTTTTGGCCTAAGTTTGTTTTTCTTTTTAATTATTTTACTTTTGAAAATCAACAGCTGGCCGAATAAATGTCAACTGCTGCGTACGCATCATCAAAATGCAAATTTTTAGTAAATTTTGTTATTGTTTTTATGCATTTATTTTTTTTTTTTTTGCTTTTTCTACTTTTTTGCCTTTGGAAATCTTTTTGCAATTTATTTGATTTGAAAATATCAAAAATATTTCAAGTATTTGTAGAAATATTTTTTTCGAAATTTATTGATTACTTTTTACGATCGTATTGATTAATATTAACAGCTATAGAAAAAAATGGTCTTTCTATTGCACGTAGGTAACAATTCAAAACTAGCTTTAAAATTTCTTTACATTTTCTATAAAAGTTATAAAATTTCGAATCTGCGATAACAAGTTAATCAATTTTTCAGAGAGGGGCTTCTGTGATAAGTAATTTCCATTTCAGAACGTTGCTTCCTGAGAATCTTTCGCAAGTAATGTTAAAAGCTATAAAAATTTGTTGTTGCAATCACATTTCAAGGATATTGGATAAAAGGCACTAAAAAGTAGTCGATCAATTGCTATATTACGTAATATTTTCTCGTTATTGTCTTTAATGTCGCAAGCAGAGCTTATTACCATAAAAGGTTACATAGTCAGTTTTTTCAAGCTTGTCCAACCTATTAAATTTTTCCCTTCATTGCATATCTAGAAAAATTTTAAACTATCGCTATACGGTCGTAGTCGGATTGATATTTAGAAATAGATACGACGTCCAAGGTCATCTTAAGTTCTTATGATTTCCATGTAGATTCTCTTGCCGCCTCACTGATTATTTTCCAGTATACAATGTTTTCAACATTAATCCTTTGTTGATTGAATTAAAAAAAAAATGATGGTTTTAGGTCAAGGGCATTTAACTTTAAATAAGTAATACATAACATATAGAAAATAATGTGCAATATTTAGAATATATGTAATATACAGGCTTCTCGTCCTTAATATGGCACTTGTAAAGCACGGTTTCGATACAATATGGTATATACATGCACTCATTTATATTATCTCAAGCTAACTTATGAGATCTAATACGGTATGCATTTACGAATGAATTTACGGTACGTATAAATCGTAAGACCAATTTAATTTGTTCTCTTCTAAATTTATTCCGTCGCCTTCAAATTAATCCCGAAGTTCAAATGAGATTCCTCATTAAGAATTTCGCCCGCATTTCATGGTAGCTCACCTTTTTATACCTCGTATATGTAGATTCGAAACTCATTTCGTTTCACTTCGTAAACCGAATTTAATGCAACCTCTTTGCTCGACAAAATCGTTTATCGCAAAAATTGCTATAAAAGATACTCTTAGTGTTGTACAAAACCAAGCGCAGATTTTAGCACAGCGCTAGCAATTTAGAGAAAATTATTTCGGATATTTTCTTTCTGGTCTTACTGGTTGGGCACAGCGATTTCAATCTCAACGCTTCTATATATATTCTATACATATATATAACCGTGTTCGACGCAAGTACCGCGTTATACGAGCGACGGCTGCGTATCTATTAGGTCGCGTCATAAGTAACTTCCGTTCTTTTATCAGAAGTTTATTTTGTTTTCATTGAAGGTATTCAACCTTTTTGCTATACTTCTTGATGATGGCCGTGCATTTTGCTCCAGTATTGCCTTTAAAATGTTGTAGTCAAACTCGGAAGGATATCCCATACCTGCAGAACGGAATTTTACAAACCAATTTCCAACTACCCTCTCAGTTGTCAGTCCATCACCGTGTAAGCTGCATATTGTTTCAACTGTCGCCTTAGCGCTATTGCCTTGTTTAAATTCCCAAAGCATTACATGTCAAATACGCACTTTTTAACTCTTCCTTTCAGTGGTTAAGAATAACAGTTGAATGTAACATTCCGCACATAAAACAGTTGACAGAAGATTAGCTCGATTAGCTCATCTATACAGTGAAAAGAAGAACTCCTTTGTTTCGATGATTTATAGTGGATAAGTACGAAAAATAGATTCAGAGATTACTTATGACTCGACCTAATATATATTTTATGAATGGAATTACAAACACAACGTGTAATAAAATAAATGCCAAAAATGTTTCCCTAAACTCTCTAAATCACGAGAATACGAAGCAATAAGCTACGAGTAAGGAAATAGTGAGATATAAATATTTTCATTCAAATGCTTATTCTTATGCCTATCCCGTTAGGAAAAATGAAAAGAAAAATGATTTACAATAATGTCAATTTATTATAATGACATTTCCAATTTAATTGCCCCGACATATAACTATATATTTGAGAAAATGTTCTCAACACATGTTAATAAAAAAAATACCTTGAATAGCATTTACGATGCATATAAATTGCAGTACATAATTGAAGTATAATGAATAAAATGTTTTTAAACAAAACTTTGAAATCTTATTTAGACAAAAAAGAAATAAACAAAACAATAGAATCATTTAATAGGAAATTGCATATATGTATATATAATTTAATAGGAAATTGCATATGTATATATATACATATATACATATATATATATATATATATATATATATAAATTGAAAGGAAGGAGAACGCGTGCCAAATGTGATAAAAACACTTAATCTCGTAAAATGTGCAAGGAAAATATTATTTATTTATATGCAATCCCAGCGAATTTGAATTTATGAAAAGGAAAACTGAAGAGCAAGCACATCATTTCAAGCAGAACAAAAAAAAAACATTG